CGATCCTCCAACCTCTCCTACATAACAAAGTTCCACAACAGGGCGACCCCACCCCTTACGGTGAGCATCAGGAGACAAAGGCTTCCCCGCAGTAGTGTGCGGATTATTCCCTTGCGGAGAGCCTCCCCAGGTTCGATCCTCCAACCTCTCCTACATAACAAAGTTGAGGCTGAACCTGGTACCATTGAACCACGTGGTTACAACATATTTAATAGACTCCAAGGGGCACTAAAAAACAACACAGGAGTCTTTAGAATTTGGGATATGTTTGGCCCTATCATGATGAGGACTTTCTCATGAATCATTCCCATCAGCCTCAACCTTTTTACTTCTTTCAAATTTGAGAGAAACTTTTTCAGCATCAACTTTCTTTCTTTTACAGTTATCCTTGGCTACATGATTGGTCTCTCCAAGTTCTTTTGACTGTAGTTTGCAAGCATTAGTTTCCTTAACTGAATCATTAATCTTCTCATTTGAAGTTTCCTTGTCTTCATCCTTTATTGCTTCAGTTTCATCACCATTTACCTTTGCTCCATCTTTATCCTCACTTTCTTATGCATTTTCTTCAACTTTAGCTTTCAATGATTCAACTAAGCCCAACAACTCTATATTAACCTATCACACAAGCTTGCCACTAAAGGAACCTAGCAAAAAGAGGAAACAAGACTACTAAAATTTACACTTAAAAGATGAACAAATAAACACAAAAACAATAAGCATAGCAAAACTTAATAACAGGACTACCATTTTGGCAAGGATACATGAGACCTTAACTTTCATCTTCTTTCCCTACAATATCTACAATAAAAAAGCAAGCACAATCAAGGTTGGAACGTGGAGCCACTAAAAGGATAGTGGAGGAATTAAAGAAGCATCTATAGAAAGAAGCCTTGAAATGTTTTGCAACTCCTGAATCTCAAAATGATCTGTGCTCCACTACCCCATCTAGTTTGAGATATCAAACAAGTCAGACATAACGTTAACGATACAATTTTACAGCAAAAAATGCCAAACTAAAACTCCACAAAAAAATAAAAAATGTGTTTTGGTAGATGGCAAATGAGGAAAGGACTGAAAACAAATTTAAATTGAGGATATACTCTCACATTTAATTTAATACTTGTATTAGATAAACAATGACATAGAAAAATTAACATCCAACTTTGTCAATCCCAACTCTCACATTAAGTCTTTTGATCCCAAAACTCGAGTTCTCACTTGACCCATTTCTAGCATTGAGCATTTCGGACCCCTTCTCGGGGTCTCACCTCCCTTATGGTAGGCATTCTTGGAACCCATTGACAATTACTTCTTGGGTTTTGCCCATCACACCAATTGGTATAAAAGCAAATGTGAGATTCAAGAAGCATCCAAGACTAAAAAGGCCAAAAGCAAGGGGGAGGAAACTGGCGCGAGATGAGAATGATGCTTAAGGCTTCTCGAGGCATCATAGTCTTCATCAGCTGTGGTGGTAGTGTGATCGTCGTCAAAGGTTTTGGTCTTGAAAGTGAGGGAGCATCGACTCATAGGGAAGAAGGGGATTTTTGTCTTTTGCTCATCTTAATTAAAGCCACTGAAAGACATCCTATATTCCTATTAGAAAACTTTGCAAGTTTCTCTCCACAATAAAATTTTTTACAAGGTATTTTTTAGCAAATTTTTTCTTGAAAGATTGAATTTTTCAATTGATGGCCAATTGGTTTCGAAAAGTAAGAACATACAACATAACTGAGCACGTTAAGAAAAACGCACGCCAGTTAAGCATACAAGAATGAGTTGGGTTAAATTATGGAATCATGCATGTGATCCAGGCAGCTTGGCTCATGGACGTTAAGGCCCATGATCATGTTTACATGATTTTAGTCATTATATTTATAGCTCTAGCGAGATTCAAGAGATTTATGAACTCATAGCCATTGATTGGAGATAAATTGTTATTAGAGTTAAAAAAATGAGTTGACTTAGCCTTGTAAGGCCTACTTTTAATAGGCTCGAGATTAAAAGAGCCAACTTTTTTAAGCCCGAATTCTCTTTATGACTTTAAAATGTGAAACTCAGCCCTCGACATAACGAGCTCAGGGTGGACCTTGCTATCCTATGAACTTCAGGCCCTTTTAACTATTTTTATTTTTTTAATTTTTTATCAAACAAAAAATTACTTCATTTCAATGTAATACCCAATTAAGAAAATAATAAGAAAACTAACTAAATAACATATAAATGAATTAAAAACACAAATGAAATGACAACAAGGCAACAAGTAATGGATCACTTAAGCCAACAAATGTCCAATCTAAATCAGGTGAGATTGAGGAACTGAGATATGGGATTGGGAGATCTAGATGAATTATGAGGTCTAGGGTTGTATTTTTTTTTTTTTTGCCTTCCTTCTTCAGCAAATATGAGCTCACATGTGATGCAGAATAAGATTTAGTTTAATTTTTTTAAATCCAAAAAGAGTCAAAATTATGAGAATTGATATAAAAAAAATGTACATGTGAGCTTAAACGGGTCAGCCCTTAAACAGTAAGCCCAATTTATCATTTTAGTGTCATATTTACAAGCTCGACCTTATTGTTATATGATTTTAAATAGGCTCAGCTCATTTTTTAGCTCTTATAATTAGGTTGACTAGGCACACCACATCATTTGTAGTTTATTCAATAAAAATATAACATTTAGGTGTAATTAAGTATAAATTAATTTTGACATTAATAGTAATAGAGATAGAAAAGTAGAAATTAAATACTCCCTTCATCCTCAATTATAAGACACTTTTAAATAAAATCTCACACACAAATAACCCTCATTAAATACACTTAACAACCTTATTTTTTCAAAATAAAATTGCAAATTTTTAAAAATACTCTTCATTTAATAACATTAAATTTACATCTAATTATTATTAAATAGAGATAAAAAGAATAATATTGAAATAAACTTATTTAATAAAACTTTAATCTCATAAAAGAATCTTGTAATTTGAGATGAAGGGAGTATGTATTTTATTATAAGAATAAAATTAATTGAAATAATATAACATTAAATTTTATTTAAATTATTTAAAACATTCTAATTGAATAAATCCCAAATCACGTAATATACTTAGTTTATTTAAGAATTTTTCCTATTGGATGCTGGAAATTCAACACTGTTTCAGTGAGTCACTAAAATGCGTCGATCAAGTTGCTAATAGAACTCATGTTCTAAGAAATGATGATTTTATCAAGCCCACCTCGCTTATGCGGTCGTGATTCTCTTCAAGACCTAAGGGGACTAACTCTTAGTTAGACTGTGACTGTTTGGGGCTTCTTTCTTCCAGACTGTTTGTAACTTGCCAGTTGACATGGTTTTTTTTTTTTTTTTAAACCCATAGCCGTAGTTGATTGAGCTTGTGGTCAGGAATGAAAGCCCGGACAATATTGTTTCTGAAAAACTTTTTAATTCAAGTTTTACACAATCATAATACATATCCAAACTCTAAAGTACCAAAAATAAATATTCTAAAGTCCAGATTGCATACGTATGCAAACTTTAAAAGATTAAATTAAAATATTTTAACATTCTATTCACAAAAAAAAAATTAACATTCTAATTGAATAATACAAATCCAAGTTTTAAAGAATAAAATACAAATTTTCCAGAGTACAAATTGCAAATATAAAATTAAATCTTCATTAATCTCAACTTCGTTATCCAAAACAAGATATTTTATCCTTCAGAAATAAGTTAAGGTTAATCAGCTTGATAAATTTATGTAAAAAAATTGAGAGGGGAAAATGCCTCAAGCTAAACATTCAACATTTAGACCAACTGATAATAGGCTACTCTAATTTAATTAATAGTTTTGAGTTTAAATTTTGAGAAATGTTAAAATAGTGGTACAGTTTGCCGCCCAAAAAAATTGTACTTCTCATTATGATTCTCATTAATTTAGGCTTTGTTAAGTTCTCTCAGCTCAACATGGAATAGACTTAAAGATATTGATGCCAAGCCAAAAAATTTAGCTCTTCCTTTTCTTTGCTAGTTCATTCTTGCCAGACAAGTTATCATAATTATTCTTCCTCTACTTTTCATCCATACCAAACAAAATCAGGTCTCCCTCTCCCAGTCTTCCTCCCACCAAATCAATATATTGAAGAAAATGAGTCCACCAAGCCATGAACAAAAATACGGCTCTACTCACAAACCTTCCTTTGACCGAGCCGTTTTTCAACTTCACGGCTTTATAAACAGTGCCGGCTCACTATTGGGCTCACTTAGCCGATTGTGACGTGCCCCGGGTTTCGTGCCAGCATTAATAATTACCGGTTTAGGGTTACCATGCACAGATGGAGAAGGTGCACTTGGTTAGATGTCATTCATTGTGCAAACATGCTTCTCAGGAGTCAGGATACCTCCGGACTTCAATGGGCGGGCGTATTAATCAGTACTAAAAGGTTGGTGAAAAAGCAATTCAGTTCTTTCTTCCATATTTCAATTTTTTTTTTTTTTCTTATGAGGCAGAGATGCGACGCACCAGTTCCTTCGATCCTAACAAGAAGTGTAAAAGATGTTTATCAAATACAAGTGAAGAGTGGTAAGTGATAAGGTTGGCGAAGGGACGCTTGCACAAAATTGCCCCTTGGAGATGAACCTAGAGTAGTTAATGATATGAACATGGAGTAATGAATATGCCACAGTTCTGTTTGAGAAAAGATTTTCTCCTCTTCCTTCCCATCCTTTTCCCCTCCTCTTTTTAATTTCTAACATCAAAATTTTAAGTAATCTAAATTTGATATCCTTCAAGACATTTTATTTTATTTTATTTTATTTTTATTGTATTTTTAAATTGTTTTTATTAAGTTTTAGTAGTTTTAATTTCATCATTTATATTTCTATAATTTAATATTTTAATAATAATTATATAGGAGATCAAATTTAAACTATTTAAAATGACTAGAAAGGAAAAAGAATAGAAGAGGATGGGAAGGAAGAGGAGAGGATCCATTTTTGTCTAATCCGGAGAGGAATGGCCAGTAGCGGGTACGTTAATTTCGTTACTTCTGGTTTTCCACTTCTGATGACTTTTTTTTTTTTTTTTGGTTTTGGAAGACCGCTTCTGATGACTTTGGTATTGGCAATAAATGGCCTTTCTCTTGCCCTTTATAATTCGCAACGGTTCTCCTCATCTTCACCAGAAATCGACTTCTAGCCCTCTGTTACTATTTTTCTCATCCTCTGTCTCCATTCTTTTCACTATGGCAGACTCCGAGTGCATCTACATTGATTCACTCGAGACCGAGTGTGTTGAAGCCTAGATCCTGGTTAAGGTAGACAGGGTTTATGGTGGGACAGACCTTGATATAAATGATATGGATTTCAGATGTCCCAAGAAGGTGTTTTCGGTCGATTTCATCGTCTTCGACTATGCTGTAAGTTATTTCGTGTTATTTTATTTAAGATACACCGAGTATTTGGCATGATCATATGATTTCAAATCGTACATCCTTTTTGAAGTGGCCTCGAGTTATCATCTATGTATCTTTGGAGATGAGAACATTGTACGGTTCTGCAATTGTTTGGCAGAGAGGAAGAGTTACTTTATTCAAAATATCTAGGTTGCTGCTGGCGGTTTCGGCATCCATCCAAGTATTCACGTAGAATCGATAAACGAGACAACTATCCAGGTGTGGGCTTAAAAGGTATGATAGCTAATACTTTTCATCTATATTGCTTTGTCTGCATGTTTATGAAATTGAGTTCTTCATCTTGTTTATACGGAAGATACGGGAAATATGAACCAGCATAACACTGGGTATGACTTTCTTGATACCATACAGCCTTCAAGACTTGATTGGCGCAAACTGGTCAAGGTTCATAGGAGGTACGGTCGTACAGATCTTTGAGCGAGATTTGGGGTACCCAAAGATTCTTTTAAGCCTAGACATGATTGTTTTCGATGCCATGGTATTACGCTTATGGTGAAAATTGAGTTCTGTTTACTCTGTCGAATAAAACTCAGTTTATCATGGTATTTTTCATTATCGAATGCAGGTGACTCAGATGATAGTATCTATTGTTGGAGACAAACTCATCAAACGATTCCATAATGTTTTCCAGGATACTTATACCTTCTTGATAAATGGCCTGAGGATTGTGGGTGGCGGTGAGCCCATTCATGATGGGTACACATTGAGCTTCTGCCGAAAGCTTACTATTCATTGCTACCTGTTAATTAGAATGGTTGATCATAACTTGAAGCTTTCTGCTGTTGAAGAAGTGAGGAAGGATATTCAACCAGGATGGCATGTAAAGGGTGAGTTACTAACGACACTTGACCTCTTTTATTATGTTCTTTTATTTTGAAATGAGTTCTTATCGACCACCCATTTCATACTATTGTGTGGATATGGCTGGTCTTCTGATGGATATTGGAAGACTTGATTGGACGAAGTTGAATGGCTTGGATACCTGCAAGCTGTGGTTTGTTATCGAGGATATAGAGTAACGACATTACATATGATTATTTTCCTTTTATATTTTCATAATGATTCTGTGGATAAATATTGACAGAACTCAAACTCTTTAAAATTCACACCAACCGGGAAGAATTTGATCAGCTTAGTGCTTCACAGTGATTGTGCTATTGAGGCAACAATTGAGTGTCAACCATTCATGAATTGGGATCAGTTGTCTTTAGATGTTCAGTATGCAGTGGTGAACAGGAAATAAGGTAATATGAACATCTGCATTGTATTTGTATTCTTTACTTTATTTTGATTTTACTGATCGATATGCCATCTTCATTGTGACAGGGGATTGCGAATTAATGGATTTTGCAAATGCGACAAAGGTTTATTGGAATCCCAAATTCCAAGAGACGAGGAAGCTTCCACGGAAGCTGTTTAGTGTGACGAAGAGAAAACGAGTCAATATGTAGAAGGATTTGCCGTGAAGTGAGGTTATGTTGAGGATGGGTGATTCCAGTATTACCTTAAATGTATTGTTAGATTGTAGTTTGGTTAGAAGACCATTGCTGCCTTTGGCCGTGGTCTTAATTTTCAACTTAGTATTTAGTTTTCTTATATTCCAATTCCAGTTTGAATCATGAACCGTTAGTTCAGTGGTCCTTTATGCATGTTGTCCTTAATGAATAAATTAATTGTTGTGAGTTCCATCATTTTACTGTTGAGACCTCAAATGAAATTACAGCTTTTGGTTTTCAGCCATACCTGGCCTATTACATTATGAACATAAATGTTCTTTTGAGAGTACAATTAACTTCTCCCAACTTAAGAAATAAACCGAATGAAAGGGGCCTGTAGGAAAATGTATTTATAGTATATGTATGAAATAATCGATAAGTGGTTAAAAGTTGGACATGTGAATCTGAGTAGGTGGATAAGAAATACGTATATGGGAAATGTGGAAACTTACTTCTTTAATAACTACGTAATTGTTAGTGGGCTACTGCGATATGAAAATTCATAGGAGTCATTTAGCAGGAAATAACTTAATGAAATAGACAATTTATTCATGAAGATTGTACTTCAAACAAAAACGAACATACGCAGAATCTAAAACAACATACATAGTTAGACATACATGCTACTATAACAAAGGAATGCAATAGAACAATATTTCTTTCACACGAAACCCAATTCAGGTCCTAATTTAATACTTTCTGGTAGGCAATACTCATTGGCATTTGAATTAGTAATTGTGTTGGTCTCTGTCTCACAAACGGTACGCTTTCCGAAGATGGGATGGGCATGCTACCTCTGGTAGAAGGAATTGAGTTGTATTTCAGTGAGGGAATTGAAGGAACTTGGTTGTCTTTTAAAACCCTCCACGTGCTATGGTTTCTGTTTTTTTATTATTTATAGTTGAGAGTCAGATAATTATCATAGGTTGATTTCTCATTATGAAGTCCAAAGTGTACTTATTTATAGTAAAGGATGAGTGATTCATGGTCTAATGACAGCTTAGGTAGTGATGATCAAAGCTGGGTCCATGGCATGTATTAAACCGAAGACAATTTAGACAATTCAATATTTGGTCTTCGATAAAATAGCATAGACTTTGGTTTAGATAGAATTTCATGGTATAGGAAATCTGCAGTAGGTTCATTGGTTTTTTCTTCAACGAAGTGATGATATTTTTCTTCATGTCATTTAATGACCTTCTCGGTTATTGGATCATCTCAATTATACAGTTGACATCTTTTTCTAATGAAAAGTGTTCGATTTCATTTTTTTCATCCAAGGCTTTGAGTTGTAAGTATGCACTGCAAATATCATATATGCTGTCAACATATTGGAAATAAATTAATATTCTGTGCTTCATTTCCAGCAGGCTTTCATTTTGTGCAGGTGGTTGAAATTCACTTATGTTCGTTTTGTGCAAGATTTATTTAATTTCATGACAATGACTCGTGTGTATCAGCATGTGCTCAAAATTATTCAGTTCTTGAATAGAAGGGGTGTGTGCACGTAAAAGCAAGATGGATTAGGGTGATGGCAATGCAGTTTTTGGTCAAGTGAAAGATGCTGAGAATATTTTTGCTGGACAAATTTTCTAAATTGTAGTTGAAGAATTCCTAAACACACGTAGGTTTTCTTTTTGCCACACCGGATGCTTTTTCTGGTTTAACATCATGATACATGATTCATATTTTTATTAAATCTCTTTTCACGCCTATTTCATCAATCTCCATATTGAAATAATACACACACACAGTATTCAACTAAAAAAATAGAATATAGTGTAAAAAAGAATAAATAAATTTTGTAATACTTCTCTTTTTTTTATATTCACTTTTTATATGTTACTAGTTATAAATAACACAATTTATTGTAGAAAGTTTGATTCAAATTGACAATTCAGTTAATCTGTAACCTTCTGATTCAACCTGTAAAATTTGATAGGAACAATTATTTTTATATGTTGAGTCTAGAAGTGTCTGGTGTGGTTTAGTTTTATCAAGGTCTTTGTATATTATGCATGTAAAGTGACACCTATTAGTGTCTAGAGCCTATGAGTTTAATTGAAGACTATAATTTAGTATTTACTTAACATTCTGAAATCATATTTGATATGCATAATATTTATTTTTTAATAAACTGCATCAGGAATAGTCCTTCCCACAGGGCATTCCATTCCAGATATTGTCCAGCATTTCTTTTAATACCTAATTATGAAGTTGCGTGCTTTTATTGATTTGGCCAGAAGGCTGCTTCTTCTATGTTTGTAGTTTGCATGTTGACAACAGAAAAAATCTGCATATCTGATTTCAAAAGTTATTGTGGATGCTTTACTGCATTCCAATCGTCAATAAGAAGGCCATTCCTTTTCGTATGCAAATTTTTTGCAGGTTCTTCTCATAACGTTACTGATTCAGACCTGCTGACAAGAGGTAAATTACAGACTACAAAATGTACATATATACTTCTACAAGTCATTCGAGCTGCTTTTTTACTTTTTATTCGTTAAAATAAAAGGAATTCCTTTTATATGTAAATTTTTCCACACAATCTTCTCACAATGCTTAATGATACAGACCTTTGGCAATACGCTCATCATCTGATGTGTTGTTGATATTTCAAGGTCAATGATACGTCGGAATAAGAACCTATTAGATGGTTAGCAATCATGTACTTCAAGATAGGAGCTTCTCAGAGGCTCTATGTAATTTGTACCAATCGATCCATTCAAAGCTGCTATTTGAATTCAAAATTTTGTCAGACAACATTACCTGCGGCTCATGTGTTGGATATTCTTTGTGAAAAATTTCCCGCAAAACATACAATACAATTTGCACGAGCACTTTATAATAAGCATGCATAGCTGTGTAGCCCCTTTCCTCACCTTCTCCTTCATTACAGATTGGATGCATACCACTGAAATCATTTATTTCTTCATTGAATTCAGCAAAAGGTGGATTCCACTTAGTGTATGGATATGGAGGCACTTGCAAGGCAATGACCTCTATGCATCGTGCCAAGGGAAAAATTGTTAACACAATTGCTTCAATTGGGATAGTAACTACATTATAACCATCTGGAAGAACAGTTCATTCACTATTTGCATTCCCTATTCAAGTAATAGAAGAATCAATTTGCAATATCTTACAAAACTCTTCATTGGCACATTTATTACAATGCACTAAACTAATAATATGGGATAAAGTACCAATGTTTCAGCGCTATTACATCGAGGCACTTGATCGTACGTTGAAAGATATAATGCATTCCAATATTGCCTTACGTGATAAGTGCATACTTATGGGAAGTGATTTCCGCTACGTTCTACCTGTTATACTTAAAGGTACAAGGTCAAGTATAGTAAATTCTTGCATAAGTTCCTCCCATTTATGGCACCATTGCAAGTTATTTTATTTAATAAAGAATTTAGGATTAAGTTCAAATTCTTTATGCAATGATGACATTATGGTAAAAAAGTTTTCTCAATGGCTGCTTGATGTTGGTGATAGAACATTAGGCCTTTCTCATGATAGGATAGCTGAAATTAAAATACCTTTAAAGTTGCTTATAACAATTCATCAGCATTCAATGCATGCCATTGTGATGGCAATTTATTTAGATTTTTTGCAAAATCTATCTAACAATAGATATTTTAATGATTGGTCAATTCTTGCACCTGCTATTGAGATAAAACAAGTTAATGATTATCTATATTCATTATTGCCAAGAAAGATCTGATTGAATTTTTAAGTTGTGACACCACATGTAAATCAACACAAGGCAATGATTGCTTTGAAAACTTATATAGAGCTCCTTAATTCAATAAATTGCTTTGGTTTATCACCTCACATATCAATCTTGAAGATTGTGGCTCCAATTATGCTTCTAAAAATTGTTGATCAAGGCTGCAGGCTTATGCAATGGTACTAGATTGAGGATCACAACACCTGAAAAAAAATGTTACAGAGGCTATCACCTTAAACAGTCTAAGCCGCTTGATTTAAAAATTCTTATTCATAAGATAGAGACGAATCTTTTAGAGAGTATATGACCATTTCATATGCAGATAAGATAGTTTCCAATTCTCTATCATTTACTATTACAATTAACAAAAGTTAAGGACTATCATTATGACATGTAAGATTCTATTTGCCAAAATCAATTTTCACGCCAATTATACGTTGCTGTTATTCTCGTGCCTGACAATGACAAATTCAATTAACGCACGGTCAATTATACGTTATTTATAGGAAAATTTTCCGAGATATAGAACATGAGGAAGATTATTGTAGTTTAATTTGTTTTCCATACTTTTGTTGCTGATTATGTAAGGCGAACTTGATGCAAACTATCGATGTTGAATCATTAAACTTAGATTGGAAAAGAAAGTAGGACAATATGTCTAAAGTTATGATTTAATGTTGAAAAACGGGGAGCAAATGCCAACATGCCTAAAAGCATTCTGAATCAGACCCAGGTCCAGGCCTTTCTCCCGTTCGCCGGTGATCCATGCAATCTTGTCCAGTTCGATCAACATTAGATTATCCACCCGCAGCTATTGCAGATAGAAGTGAAGGATAAATTAATCCTCTTTTTAACATTACAAATGACAGGTAGGTAAACTAAAACTAAGACATACCAAATATGCTACAAGTCATTCTGCAGGACACTACTCGTAATTGGTATTCTTTCAAGGTTCTACTCTATATTTTCAAACACCAATGCGTCCAAATGAAATTAAAAACTACATGCAACTAAATTCTGATTCAGTAAAACCAATTTTATGACGATTTGGCCTTCCATATATTAAACACCACAAAAAGAAAGTTGCTGCACCAAGGTTATGGATATCCTCAACAAGGAAGAATGCATATCAACAAAAAACTTTAATATTTACCCCTCTAATTCTTTGGGGGGGGGGGGCTTTGAATCCCAAAATACATCAACAAATTGAAAGAAGGGAGGCACAAACTCTCGTTAGCGATACAAATGCGGTAATAGCAGGTTGCTTCGCTGTGTTCATTGACAACAACAATATGATGGAACTAAACAAAAGATTTCCATATTATACATTCGTAACCTTTATATGCAACTTTTTGGCCTACCTATGGCAGCACAAGTATCATAAAACTACATCTATAATTTATTCAAAAGATAGCAAGTCTCGGCACAAATCATCACAGGATTTCTTTATCATACAGTTGCAAAATTGATCTTAATTGCAACTTTCAGGTGCCCATCTACAACATAAGAGTGAGTGTTGAACAACCCCAACAACCCTATAATTAGTCAAAAGAATGCAGGTCCCAACATAATGTCATAGGAGCTTCCCCAAATCATTGCTTCAAATAAAGTGTGCAGTTCATGATCTATATTGGTTTCTGTTAAGTTGCTGGAGATCTTATCAGACAAAGACAAAGAATTGAACAGCAGGCTCAAATAATTATCGCAACTAAAAATAAAAAAAAAAATTAAGAGCAAAGACTTTAAATTTGAAACTATCAACCCATGCATCAATCCTCTTCTATGCTCGCCAAATTCTGAAATGCCAAAAGCTAATAAGCAAACCAACTTTATTTCTTTATATATAGAGAGCCGCATAAACTTAAGGATAAATTGTCAATTGCTTCATTGGGCCGCAAACAGAGCACCACAGATGCATAAGTACAACTCGGAGACGAAATATATACATGCATACTAGAAGAATAGAATATTGGCCTTCAAAGTTCAAACCTTGGCAAAATAGCCACTAAAAATCAAAAGTCTCGATAATGGTAATCGCCATAATCATCCCGTGCAGCCATGTCGTTTTCAACCCTTTCGGCAACCTTTTCCTCTTCATATTTGAGACTCTCTCCCAAAGCAAGCCCGCCCAAAGAACCAGTAACAGCGCCCACTGCCAGCCCCGCACCCATTCCCATTTTCCCACTCTTTGGCTTGTGATCATACGACGAATAATCAAGCGGGGCTGACGGGCCGCTAGGCCCGCCATAATTCACCGGACGATCAAAGAAAGGCCTCGGCGGCGGCGGAGGGGGAGGAGCGCTTGAGTAATATCCAGGATAATACGCAGAGCACACATCCTGGTATGAACTGTAAGAAGAGTACGGTTGAGGAGACGGTGAAGGTGAGTAGCCCCTGAAATCGCGCGCCGAAGACGGAGGAATCGGATTGGTCGGTATATAACATACCAGTGGAGGACTAGGGTTTGCGTAATCTACGGTCGGGGGCAGAGGACGTCCAAGAAGACCGAGCTTCAGGTGGATCTTACCCTGAGGGCGACCCGAGGGGCGCAAGAGAGTGAACTTCCGGAGCCGAGATGAATCTTCCAGGTCACTGACGTCCTTGAGTGAGAGACGGAGTGTGCCGACCAAGGGCTTGTGCGTTTCAGAGGGTTTGGAATGGAAAATCTCAAGGGTGAGGAAGGAATCTTGGAGAGAGTGGGTGAGGGGGAGAGTGAAGCGTTCGTTCCAGACGGGGCACGTAGAACCCGAGTCGTCGGATTTGGTGGCGAGACGACGGTCCGGGTCGACCCAAAAGACAACATAGGGTTTGAGATCCCCGTTTTTCCAGTTGACGTTCTTGAGATGCTTGGCTGAGACGATGGTGAGATCGAGATCTAAGGGCTTCGATGGGGGTGGGCGAGGAGAAGCCATGGGCTCTGGCTTTAGCGCTAACGTGCGGGAGCAGATGCGGATCGTCTACGATTCGATTTACGCAGGCGGAGGAGGAGGAGGAGGAAATTGGAATTTACTTTCTCCTTACGCGGTTTCGTTTCGTATCGGCTTTCTGAACTAGCCCAGGCCTATAAAAGGAAACTGCTTTCCCCTCCTGCTGATCAGCCAGTCAGGCTCGGCGAGATTTTTTTCCCCCCTTTCCTCGTCACGTGTAAAAAATTAAAAATTAAAAATTTCGTTTTTTTTAAGGATAATAAAAAAAATTTCGTTAAATCAAGAGAAAAGTATTAAAATAATATAGATACAGATTTGTTTTGGTTGAAAATATATATCAAATAAAAAAATATACCTTACAAGGATGACTCTTACCTAACGAAAAGGTGACACATACACCTAGAGAAGGGGTATTCTCTCTCTCAGACTAGGGTGACCCTTACCCTAAAGAAAAAAATAACGCATACATTACCCTAAAGAAAAAAATAACGCATAATATTTGCACACCTTGACTTAAAGTCAACAGTGAAGGTTGAGACTTTAAACAAATCATTTAAATTTGTTTTTATAAAAGTCTAAATTTAAAAAATTGGTGAATTTTAATGAAATTGAATTTTAAACTTAAAACTCATTTTAAAAAACAAACTCAAGTCGAGATAGTTTTTTAAGTCACTTTTTTTTCTAAAAATTTCTCTAAAATTCACAGCCTCATAAAGAAATCTAGCTCACTTGACTCTTTAAGAAACCCTTACTCACTTTACTCCTTCCTAATCCTCACTTTGCTAATCACTTCTTTTGATCTCACTCATCTTTGCCTCTTTGTCATCCATCGATCTTAACAAGCTTAAGTTGGCATCTCATACTCGGCCTCACTCAATCTTGCTCAATCCCTCTTGATCTTGGCAAGTTGGCTTCACTTGCTCTCGCTCTTGGCATTAGGTGCTCCCTTCAGGCTTCTCTTAGTCTCATCCTCTACCCTTAAGGCTTTCTTGCTCTCAATCTTAACTTCTATTTTCCCCGTCTTCATTAAGCTCCAATTTTTTTCTTGAGATTTTTATAGTTGGATTATAGATTGTTGAAGCTTGCTTTATCTGTGATGAATTGACCATAAGGGTTAGATATAAGGTACATGGTGCAGAACCTAACTCCAATTTTGTTTGTTTTCAATTGGATTTCATGTTCTTCTTTGCTTTTGCCCGTTTTTACTCTTAGATGCATGTGCTTGTCTTAGATCTCACATTGAGCAACCGTAGTTGTATTTGCACTAGAGAACCACTGCTTCTTTCTTTTTTCTTGCTTCATCTTCTTGTCACTCTTTAATATGCTAGTCTATGGACTATAATTATCCTTATAGCTCTTTTATTAGCTGATGTATTTCTTTAATTTGTTATTCTATAGATTTTAATTGTCCATTTGCCCCTATATTTAGATGGATCTAATGGTTGAATTTTTAGCTCTGAAAGCCTCCTATTGTTCTCCAATAGAAGCGTTTTAGAGATTTTTTTCCTTGAAAATTGAGTTGCAAAACGGATTGCTTAGACTATTTTTTGTGTATTTCTTATTCTCTCTTTCGTTAGCTAAGTTAAATTGTCAAGTTAGAAGGAAGAGGATAATTGAGGGTGAAGAGGAAGATGAGAGTGAGGGTGATGGCTAGGAATGTGACATGGGAGAGAAGCTTGGAAGAATCATTAAGAAACTTGTTTTGTTGAGGAAAAAGAGGAAAAAGAAGGATGAAGAAAATGATCGAACATGTGATTTTCTTTAATAAAAGTATTTTAACAAATGTATATCAAAATTTATTTACAATTAGAGCTCAAAGGACTTTAAATTTATTTTTACATTTTCTAAGACTTCTTGATAATTAGAATATTTTTATGAGATCTCAATGTAATTTTTTTAAAAATTTAAATTTGAACTATACTATAAAGAAAGAAGGATGAAGGTGGAGGAGACAGCATCTTTAATGTTGGTAATGCCATTGTTGACGTGCTAAGGAGTCGTTTGGTTTGTTAAAAAAGAAGTAATTGGAAGGAATTGAATGATAAGGAATGGAAAAGAGTGGACTGATGATGACTATAAATTTATTCAGCAAGATACTGACAAGTGAAAATAAAATTTATGTATTTTATTTATATACATATACTTTGTTTCTACACAAAATTTAAATATTACTTTACGAGAAAAAGGTTAAAAAAATACTTGCATGTGCATGGAATTAAATTTAAAATATGCCAAAATTTAAAAATTTTTTTAAAGAAATAATGATTTTTATAAGTTTTAAAATATCGTGAAGAGAAAAAATAATAAAATTAAAACCAAGAAAATGTTAATACACTTAAAATCAAGGCAGGTAACAAGATTTCTCTCATTTTTCTCAAGCATCCCTACCCCAAAGAAATATGGTAATCCCTCTTTTCAGAAGTTCTCCTTTTAGAATAAGTCACTCCTTATCTTTTAAAAGCAAAAGAAAGGAGGAGTGAAGATATGAAGAGGGATGGTATTCATATCTTCATTCCTATGAACATTGTAGTGCGCGCATCTCCTTACAGGATTCCTCGCTTCAGTTTTTCATTCCCATCAAAGGTACTTGCTCTTGGCCGCACAGTGCGCACTCGAATGCCTGTGACATGTTGCTTTATCTCCATCCATGTTTTGGCAGTAGTGAGCCTCGCTTAGAAGATGAGTACATTCCAAGCTCAGACCACCTTCGCGGGGTATCATTAACCCCAAAATCTAGACATCAATTTAATCCAAGCGTTAAACTGTTAATATTATTAAACATCAACCGATAATAATTAACAAGAGCACACACCCCAAGAAAAAAGGATCATAGGGACAGATCCACCGCCAATTGATTGTGGCAGGGACAGGAGGATGTGTCACGAACTCACTATGACAAAGACTAAATATGCGACAAATATGATATCCTTCAGGTATTATTTAGTAAAAAGCAATTACAACGTCTATAAGAAGGAAATACAATAGAAGAAAGGTGTATAAAGGACAGTAACAGAAAGGGAAATTTTGGAGGAAGAAGGTACAACGGAAAAAGCAGCAGAGTAGATAAACTTCAGAGAGGAAGAGAGTCTTCACAAAATTCATCCATGATTGATGATCCTGTTCGCATTCTGTAATCTATATATCTGCACCTCTTGCCCTCTCGGCTCCTTCCAAGCCCAAAATGATGATCAGCCCATTAGTGCACTCTTTATAATCCAAGGCCACGGTAATATTAAGCTCGTTTGACCAAGAATGCTGGATGGCAGCAGCATATTCTACCCCCTCAAGGGTAAAATGGTCCATCTCGATTAGACCAAACAGCATTAGCGTCGTTTCCCTCTCCCAAACGCAACAACTCCAGCAGAGCGGACAGTCGCATCAAAGTCGTGGGCTTCCAGTGAAAGCGAAAAATTAAAATTAAAATTGCTACAGACAAGTGCTCAGGCAGCAGCGCCCGCGTCTCCTTTCCTCCTTTCTCACCGGAATTAGTATTATATCTTCTCTTCCCTCTCTGTCAAATCTTCAATGCCTTGACTTGCATTGCTTCCCCCGAGAGAACAAGATTTTCAATTTTTCCCAGCAAAACAATTATGTCGGACGCTTTGATCAATGGCCTCGCTGGAGCTGGAGGAGGGATCATTGCTCAGCTCATCACATATCCTCTCCAAACTGTATGTTTTCAATATCTGCCTTCGAGTTTTTTATGTTAACAGCTCATTCTAATTTTCCTGAGGTGATCCACAGGTAAACACTCGTCAACAGACCGAGCATGATCCGAAGAAAGACCGGAGGAATCTTGGAACTCTTGAGCAAATGCGCCAGGTCTCTGCCTTCTATTGCTATTTATACGATTGTTTAGCTGTATTGATAGCCTGCTTTCATATATTGAAGCAAAGAAAAATGGTGCAATCTCACCGTCAAGTCTCTGATTGAAGGGGAAACAAAGATACGATCCTTCTCACTCTTTGTGGACTCGTAGCTATAGCGTGTTCAAAATAGTTGTAGCGAAGGTGACTTCACAATTCCTGATTTCCTGGTCAAGTCATTGTGTTTATGGGGGAAATAATGTAGGTTGTAAAGCACGAAGGGTGGGATCGGTTGTACGGAGGATTGATGCCGTCGCTTGTGGGCACTGCTGCGTCTCAGGTCAGTGCAACTTGACTTAGGTTTGGTGATATTGATGCTCTTTATAAGTGAAGTCTCAATTCCTTTTCATAATTTACAGCGAGTGACAATTAATTGTAACCAATTAATTACTTTTTTTTGTGTTTTTCATTTTCTTGTTGTAGTGGGGGAGGTGTAAATGTGACGTTTGTGTTAGTTATTTTAGGACGTCAACACTGCCTTTTGTTGCCGGGGGCAAGATCAATAAGAGCAAGAATTTATGAAAGCAATCTCATCATCTCGTTATCAACATTTTATCTGAAATAGGTATTAGGTTTGGTGAGCAGTGTTTAAAATGAATAATATAATTATTTCCTTACATGTTATTTGACCCTTAGCTTTTGGGCGTAGTGGCTGTGGTAATGTACACGGCTAAAGTACATGTCAGCCACAGTGGCATTTGTCCCCAGGACAATGCAAAGCATGCCACTGTTGTGTAGTAATCTCTGGGTTTCTATTGCTTTATTGCCAAAATAAAACACATCATGATGGCATGTGCACATCCACTAATTTTAACAAAGCACCTTCGGATTAGAAAATGTTTCTGGCTTCAATTTGTTGAATTTAACTTCTGGTTATCTAAATTATGATATTTAAAGTAAATATGCTGGCGTTACTCATCTGTTCCATTGTATTTATTGTGAAATATTCATCAATTAATTTTGAGGCTTAATTTTCATGTTGTTTGCGAATAACAAGCTGAAACTGAAATTCCTTCTATCCGTTTAGCTTCTGGAACGTAGCCAATTATTGGCAGGGCAACCAAAAATTTAAGCAGGGCAAGCCATGAAATATGTTTAAAGTGTGACAGGCCAACCAGCTAGCCTCCTATTGATTCAAAGGAACACTAATATTATTACCAGAGTAATTATTTAGCTAACTACCTACACTTGATTTTTTTGGTAGGAGGGTTTAGGAATATCTGACGAAAGTGGCTATGCATGCAGCTTTGAAGTCGTACAGAAGTAGGCTTACTCTCGTTTTGACAAAAAGGGTTTATAATTTAGTTGATTCATTTCGGATTGAAAATGTTTCTTTGGATGGAAACTTGGTTGGAGTTAATTGGTCGCAGGAATTCATTTTGTTAAGTGACAGTCCAACAGCGAAGTTGATGTAAAACACACACACAACCACTAAGATATAGAACAAGGTGAGGGAGAGGTTGCGGAATAGAAAGCAGATATCAAATTTCCATTCTCAAAAGAAAGTACCTACATAAGTTGCATGAGGGCTATTTATAGAAGCCCGTGACCTACCTTTCTGTCATAAGGAAGGAATCTTAAATCTTAAAATAAAAGTAAAATAGGTTTTCCCAAAATCCCATATTTCTGTCACATAAGAAGTCCAAGCCACATGGATACAGAAAAAAATTGTTAAAGGAGTTGTTCTTTAGCTGTGGCTAGTACCATAAAGAAAGGTTTTTTTTTTTTTTTTTTTGGGGGGGTGTTTGCAAAAATGAAGCTTATCGGCCTTCAGCCTTTAGGCAAGTTATGTGATGACTAATCATGCAATAGAAAATGTTTTTTCTTTTGACTCAGTTTAGTACTTAAAAGAATTTGACGTTGGAAAAAAATAAAATAAAGAAACTAGTTATGTAATGTATTGACAGAAGTAAATCTTAGTCTAATGATAGACTTCTTTCTTTGATGTTGCATGATCTGTAATGTTAGCCTTTTTCCTTTTAAACGAGCAAGAGTTCTTATCAGCCAAATACTGAAGAATGTATTTTGACCTTCTCATTTAATGTCAAATTTACTAACAATGTTTATAGTACAGGGTGTTTACTACTACTTCTATCAAGTATTTAGGAGCAAGGCTGAAGCAGCTGCTCTAGAACAAAGAAAGATTGGCATTGGTGATGGATCAGTTGGGATGTTATCCTCACTACTTGTTGCTGCTTTATCTGGGTAATATACTTCGTCTGTACAGTGCCCGTGGTTGTGGCAGTTTCTTGTGCTGCAAATTTTAAAGCTTGAATAAAGTAGTGGTCTTCACAGGTTACAGCAATTTTGTTGTTTTTCTAATCATGCCTACAGCTGTAGAGTTTCAAGTCCTCACACGTTTGGGATTGTAAATATGCCCTTGGTCTTCTTTTAAGCTTTATCTATCAATAAAGTTGGTGAAATTGCTGATTACACAATTGTGGTGTGACTCAATTTGCTTAATAACTCCTGCTTGCAGGTGTGTTAATGTGCTCTTGACAAATCCCATATGGGTAGTAGTTACACGGATGCAGGTAAATGGCTCGTTTATGTTCTTCCCCACTCCAAAAAGGCACCCACTCTCCTTTACCATGTTTCTCGCCAAATTTGTGGTTGAGATAACTTTGATATCAATTTTTGTGGGAAAACTATGTTTTCATTTGATTTCAGATTTTATCTATTTAAAAAAATATTGCAAAGTTTAAAACCTTCTCTCACAAATATTATTTTATGAAGAATTCCTTAATCACCCACTAAATGTTCTCTTAAAGAACAATATATAAAGTTGAAAGGGAGAAATTTGTGGATTTGGCAGCTACTTTGGACTTCTATGTGGAGAAAAATTGGTTTTTTTGTCTATAATATTTTTTTTTCTTTCTTATAATCTAATGTTTCAGTTTTATAATGAATTTGAGAAAAGCTGTGGAATATAAACATAATTTCTCTCTGCTTTCTTCTGGCCTGGTTCTGCAAGCTGGTCTTATGGTCTGTTCTCTACTATTTCTAATGTTCAAAATTGTTTTCACTGTGCAGACTCATAGAAAAGAATCAAAAAAAACCATGCCTGGTCATAAGTTGTCTGTGGCCACGGAACAAACATTTCTTTCTGCAGCTGAGCCTCCTTCTTATGGAACTAGTCATGTGGTAGGTGAAATCTATTTTCAACAGTAGCTTCCTGTGGTTTCAGTCTTTTAAATCTGTGCTTGCAAGGTCAACCTTCTGGCAATTTGGATGGCATATGCTAATTATGCTGCTTAGGCTAACATTCACCTATAAGAGAACGTTTCGTAAACTAAATATATTGTTTTGATCAATATGCTGAGCATCTTGACCATTGGGTCTATCCCATTTGGAAGGGATGACATGTAAATGCTCCGATAATTTGCTGATAATTTTGACAATTCATGTTCTTTTTTCGTTTATTATACAGAATTTTATTGGATGATGACTTGGACTTTGCATGTGTTTGGGTCTGATTACTGATCAACATTGCGAGCTTAAAACCTTAACAGATATTTTTTCATGTTTAGTAATAAAATAAAAATACAAAATTACAGATTCAAGAAGTGTATGGTGAAGCTGGAGTCTGGGGTTTCTGGAAAGGTGTATTACCAACGTTGATCATGGTACGTTTGAAGTGAATCTTTCTCATTCTAAGGGAGTAATACTTATTGGATGTCACTGATCTCAGGTAAGCAATCCTTCTATACAGTTCATGCTGTATGAAACCATGTTGTCAAGGTTAAAAAGAAGACGTGCTTTGAGTAAGAAGAGTAGTAATGGGGTTTCTGCTTTAGAGGTATAGTCTTATATCACTTCCTTGGGTAACTTCACCCTTTTGTCTGGTTTACTATTCACTCTTTTATTCTTCAATATGTTGAATTGTTGATTTAATTGTTTACTACGGGTCAACTCAATTGCCTTGTGTCGCTAGATATTTCTTCTTGGGGCTTTGGCTAAGCTTGGAGCTACTGTTATGACTTATCCTCTTCTAGTTGTGAAGGTATACCATGCTAGCTTATTCAAGATGTTTTCAGTTGGCTAAATGAGAATCTTTGCTTTAGCAGGGGAAAAAAATAATAATAATGAGCAACTTGAAAATGTATTTGTTAAAATTCAGATATGGAGGATTATAATACTATAGAATATAAGTCACCTCAAACCATGTAAATTTTCCATGGTATGTGATGCTTGTCAAACATTGACATTATGTGTAAATTAAACAGCAACAAAAAACCCATCCTACTAAGTGAGGTTGGTTATATGGATCTATCATGCCATTGTGCTCTAACAATTACCAATTTTTTAGATATATCGTTTATTATTAGGTTATGTCCAATAACTTCCTTGCATATCCTTCTTTGTCTTCACTATTATGTGTAAATTAAAGAAGAAAAATTCTTACACAGAAACTTGCTTGTCTATATTTTCATGTTAAGGAGCATTGATCAATTTGTGCACTCAAATCAGCTAAATTCTATCCGCAAAATGTATGGATTGCAAAATGCTAGCAAATGCCATATTGTTGGCTTTCAGTAATTTCTTGGACATACATGTCATTTCACATAGTTCATGCATCACCTCTTATTTTATACACAATTTTACTGTAGTTGATGTTGTACAATCATTTATTCAATATGTCCTATTTTAAAAGTTCTATTGCCATATTCTTCTTATGTATCATCTTCATGTCCATTCTTTGCAAGAAGGACAGAATGGGGGATTGGGAAAACGATTTGTGCTCAAAATGCTGTTCTGGTCTTCTCACTTGTTATGTTGCCATTGTAGGCTAGGCTTCAAGCAAGGCAGGTTAAGACTGAAGACAAGAGGCACCATTATAAAGGTTCAAGTTACTGTGTCAATCATATCTTACCAGCTAATTGTAGTTATAATTCAATTATTGTAGGTTCAGACTTCCTTTATGCCTTGTTAATCACCAGAGAGGTTATTGGTTATGATTTGCTGAGGTTAACTTGTGGCATATTGGTTTAGTTCAATTTGATGATTAATGCTCCCCCCCCCCCCGGCGGGCCCCCCTTCACACTTTCACTCACTTACACGTGTGCGCTCAACTATTTGAATGAAAATTAGCTTCAAATCCTCAGGTTTTGTAAGCGTTTAGTCTATGGTTGAACTTTCTGATGTTGCATTCTTGAAATCCAGGAACATGGGACGCCATTATAAAGATGATCCGCTATGAAGGGTTTTATGGATTTTACAACGGTATGAACACTAAAATTGCACAGAGTGTGCTGGCTGCCGCTGTTTTGTTCATGGTGAAGGAAGAGCTAGTTAACGGGGCTCGTTTCTTGCTTGCTAAGGATGCTGCTAACACTCTGAAGGCAAAGCCTCTATGAAAGGGGATTGGTAACAAATGATTCTTTTTCCAGATTGAGATTCCACAAACCATCTTCAACTGAAATACTCATTCATATAGTAGGAAATAGATCATATGGCCCTGGAAAATTCGTACCGTTAATGAACGGTATGTTAGAAAGAATATCCCAATGTATTATTCCTTACTATTTTCGTCAGACTAGTCAGCAAATTGACGATGGCATGGGCATATTCATATTTTAAGTAGCTGGAATCATTTGAGTTGTTGAGTCCTTGTACAGATTTCTGAGTTCAGGCCCTGCCCCTGAAAACACTGTATGACCACCTGTTTTTGTTGGTAGATCAGATTCTCAGTCCATTTGATGTACTGGACATGTAACCTATAAACTGAAATCGTCCGTTAACAAGCCACTGGCAAATGAGAAGAGTGCTAGAATGCCAACTGAATGAATAGAGTCCTGTAAAGACAAATTATCTCGGATTACTTGCATGTTCAACTTACACATTGCTATGGCAAAATGGATATGCTATTAAACTGAATTTTTTTTGTATTACTTGTATGTTTGTTTTTCAATCGAGGACATGTTTTTCAGCTTGAAGCAAAGTTTTTCTCACGTTGCTTTGATCAACAAAATTCGAAACCCATACTAAATCCTATATATCGCACATGGGTTTAAAATATAAATTATGGTAGTTAAGTCTTGTGAAAAATAAAATTTGTTATAAATTTTCTTATCTAGCACGTACACATGTATAGTATGATTTTAACTTTTTATAAAACAAGCATAGCAAGCTGGTCAGTGTTCATGAATATGAATTTACTAAAAATAATCATCAATATATCTCTACAAATCCTATAGAATGATCCTGATTGGTCAACAAATTCTTCAATCTATTTGGTCAATGAACTTTGATCAAATGTAAATTCTACACTTTAATTGGTTCATTCTATCTATATTACAAAGATCAGTTACCATCTTAAACATGTAGTCCCCATTTTTAAAATCTGAATTCACGGAGTATTAATTATATTTGCCTTCTCCATTTATTACCTTTGTCTACCACACTTCCCTATAATTCTTCAATTTCCTTGTTTTTCATTTCCTCCCAGGTGCATTCTTCGATTTCATGGGATCATTACAGATTTTTTTTTTTTTAATCCCTTCCAGTTTTACACCTCCAAGGTTGTTCTATTCGCTCTTCACCGATTGCGATTTCATATGATCATTTCACTTGTTTTCAAATTTAAATGGTAAATGGTCGACTTTTACGGGAGGATTAACTAATGCAGTTTTCTCCATTAGCTTTTGAGCTCTCACATTCTCGATATTGGCATGTCGTAGAGCTGCATCTTGGACATTCTCCCTTATGGTTCTATATGCTTCAGCGTGAATTCTCCAATCCAACATTTCTCCAAGCTTCTCGTTCGCGTCTTTGTGGGTATGTGTATTTCCATCTCCATTTACTTGCTTTGCCTTTCTCATCATTTGCACTCTTCCATTCCCTTCCTTACATCAAAATATGTCCAGAGTTGCACTTTTCACTCACCCCATTTGCTCATGTTACTCTCACCCTCTTTCTTCTTCAGTTTCTTTCTATTCTAGGAAATGGGAAAGACTTTGGATCTGTTCCTTCAATTTATTTTATGATTCATTAGTGTTCGAGATTGTCCCCTTAGAAGAAGAAGTAGGAGAAAGAGTGTTATGTTTTCGAGACTAATACATCCTCGCGAAAGGACATTTGGTCAAGAAAATATGCAAGGTGGATTGAACCACAATCACCTTGGAGACCTGTGTCTCGTGAAGTGCCTGTAGCAACACACAAACAAATTGCAAAAAAACAATTATTGCCAAAGATAAAGGGAAGAGACTTAGCCTAGCTTTTGGTCAAAACTGTTTTTACATCAAAATGTAACGACATTTTTTCAGGAGCAACTCATCTCTTCTTTGGCAATTAAAATTTCTGAAATCATATGTTGGTAAAGTTTTGCTGGCGCTATAAAACTTGAGGTTTTAATTTATTCTACTATTCTATTATTATTTTATTTTGAATTCAAAATTTTTTTCATTCATCTTTTACACAGCTCATGTTTAGTCGGTGCTATTATGCACAAAACATTCTTGAATCTCTGACATTTGTTATATATCTGATCCTGCCTTTAGAGTTTTTTTACAGACCTATGGGAACCAATGCGCTCGCATTGATGAGCAGAAACTTCTCATCTATTGATCATTTTTTAAAGATGGTGGAAAGAGAAAAAGAAGGACCCAACATCATCAGCCATGGAATGTTATTTTGTTAGGACATAATGTTGTGCATCGGTTGAGGAGTGAGATTCTTACAAATTATCAATACCTGGCAAATCAATGCTTGAAGCTCGGTCTTTATCTATGCATGCTAACACATTACCCAGTTGGACAAGCTGGTGGCTAGGTATCGTACTTTGTAGGTGTTATTTTTAGTTTTATATCTTCTGTTCTTCCTCCCTTCAACGCCAAAAATAGTTGATCCATGTTACTGACATCACGTATTTTGTCCAAAACCTGAACAGTTGATCTTAAACCTTAACAATTTTATCTAAAAATAACAATTACAACATTATTATTAAATTCAAATCAAATCTAGAAATCAAAATTGAAAATCAAATAGAATTTAAAACTCAGCAAGCTTTTGCTCTTCATATAAAAACAAAATGATAAATGACTAGTCTTTTATTTTTTTACTATTCATAATGCATACTCCTTCTGTTAAAAAATGTAAAATATTTTTAATTAAATTTTACCCTCAATAAAATAGTTACTTATTTTTAAACTATTATAATTTTTTTATATTTATCTCTATTTAATAGAGTGTTTCATTCTAAAATAAATATAAAATAATTTATTTATAAGAGTACTTTAAAAATAATAATAATTATATTTTGAAATATTAATAATACTTCATATTTTTTAATATCAAATTTTTTAAAAAATGTTTTACATTTTTAACAAAGAGAATATTTAGTTTTCAGTGATGGCATGAATGAATTCTCAAGTACTTCAGCCTCCGACAATTATCATGATAGCATTGTAAAGAAGCTCCTTTTATTATTCTCTTTGCAAAATTTACATTTCTATGAACAAACTGTGAATACATTCAATTTAAATTTTGACATTTACGTTTCCAGGCTTCAGAATCAGTCAACCTTTATTCTCCGTCATCGGTGTATATCATTTCTAGAAGATGTCATCGGAGAGAGTACTGTGTACGTAACTTGCAGATAAGATTAAACTACTACTATTAAATCAGATCCTTTACAATGTCAAACCCATAGTACAAAGGTCTTATCACATCAATATCGTCAAATTCTATCGTCTGATCATATCATCGGCTAATGAGATTGCTACTGTAACCATACATTCAGTAAGCATTAATGAAAAAGCTGTGGAAGTGTATGATATGATGCCAACTACTTTTACCAGTTATTCTATCAAATCTCTCTGTTGTGACTAACTATCTGCAACGTTAGAATTCTCTTTAAAAATATAAAAGATGAACAGAGAATCAATAATCCACCAACATTAATATCAAGAATTAGTACAAAAATTAGTACACACCACTAATTTCCTTTCACGGGGTTCACTCTTTGAAATTTCCATCACACTTTATTTTTCAAAGATATTTTATGAATAAGTAAAGGTATATTTTTGTCTCTAAAATATTTTCTGATGAACATCTAGCACTCTAATATTTTTGTTGGAATAATTTTGTCCTTAAAAGTTATTAAAATAAAATATTTTTATCCTTTCCGTCGAATTTTTTAACAATCAATATTAAAAATTTGACAGAAAGGGCAAAAATATTCCATTTGTATAACTTTAAGGATAAAATTATTCCAACAAAAATATTAAGGTACTGGGTTCTCCTCGAATAATACTTTAGGGACAAAAATGAACATTAATCCTTTATAAATTGCATGTGTTTCAAGATCAATTTTATTTTTCTGTTTGACATAAGAAATTCTTTCTATTAATTTTATTTTTAAATTTTTAAATTTTTTTCATATTCCATAGTCATCAATTGCTTAGATGAAGTATAAAGGTAACCATGCACCATAAAAGATTAACTCTCATATGTTGGAGTTAATTACAAATATGCATGATTTATTTGAACTGTTATATTTTTCATATGTCTAATGACAAATTATTCATTCTCAGAATTTTAATTGAAAATGCTAATTTCATCTTAATTAATTATCATATGTGCAATGCATGGGGTTAGAGTCTAGACACTTAAAATCTATATGGTTCATTATCATTAAAAATAATTGAGATTTTTAATATTTAATTTTATAACCTATAATCAAGTATGCTTATACATGACATATTTTAAATGAACTCTTAATATTAACTCTCAATGAATAAAATATTATTATGTTAAAATTTTATTTCATCTGTTGCATGGTTTTTTACTTACTTCAACATAAATGCGTGACATTTTATTTATTATAATTAATCTTCTAATTTGATTTGATTAATTTGAGTCTAGTTTTTACGAAACCCACACGGCAAAGTTATTTGTAAAAAAGAAGAAGAAGAAGAAGAAGAAGATAAAAGTCCTTTAAGTGAATGAATTAAAGTTCTTATTCTCTGACTAAATTCTCATTCCACGTTAATTCATGGAAAAATTAATATAAAATTTTTTTAAATTATATAAATGACAATCTACCTTAAAATTTCATAATTTTATTGAATTCTATAAGAATTCTGTGTGAATAAATTTTAAAATAAAAAAAATATTTTACTCTTATTGAAAACAACAAGTTTTAATTACAATTTTTGTTTAAGAAATAATAACTTTTATTTTACGAATTGTAAAAGTTAAATAAAAAATCATGTCTTGTCAAATATAACTTATACCATTGAAAAATAAGCTCCACTCATAACTTTTTCTTATAGAATAACAACTCTTATTTTATGAATTGTAAGAGTTGAACAAGAAATTATAACTTGTCAAGTGTAATTTTAATTATCGAAAAACAAGTTTCCAAAATAACAAATCTTATTCACAACTTTTATTTAAAAAATAATAATTTTTATTCAAAGAATCATAAGAATTAAACAAGATATATTCCCTCTGTTCAAAAATGTAAGACATTTTTTTAAGAGTTAGATGTTAAAAAATGTAAGGTATTTTTAATCTTTCAAGGTGTAATTATTACCATTTTTTCAAAAATGCCCTTATTAATAGTGACTTTATATTTATTGTAGGGTGTTTAATAGGGGTAAGTATGAAAAGATATGATTAGTTAAAAAGTAAATAACTACTTTATTGAAGGGTGAGATTCGATTAACAATGTCTTATATTTTTTAACAGATTGAGTAATAATTTGTCAATAAAAGTAAAATCATCTTTTAAATTTAAATTTTATTGATACATAAATCTTTAGGAACTGAAGTAAAAATGCAATATTTTGAGAGATCAGATTATTATTTATATAATTTAGAAAATTTTATTGCCATTTTTCCTTAATTTATTTAGAGGACCTTCATCTTTTTTTTAACCCAAATAATTTTACCATTTAAAGTAGGGAGAATAATTGTTAAGTCTCAAAATATTGAATTACTATTAGTTAAATATAAATTAAAAATATCAATTTAAATTATTATAAATTCAAGAATTTAATTATAAATAAATATTTAAATATTAAATTTAATTTTTAAATTACAATAAAAAATTTTGTTTATAATTATTTAAATTAATATTTATAATTTATTTTACAAAACATTTTATAAAGAACCTAAGCAATCATTAAATTATTTTTTTTAAAACCTAGCTATCATTCCTCCTTTCCTTTGAGTACTCCTTGCCGATTTCCTCGAACTTAAAGTAACGAGTTAGGGGAACTGGCCTTGGGAGAGTGCCTATGCACTTTACGCACCAAGCGATAAGCGTAGATTTAGGACGTCTTCAGTAGCAGGTCGACAGGGTAGACTTCAAGCTCTATAATGTACAACACTGAGCCACTTTGCTTAAACAAGAGTTCTAAAAATGGTGTCCAAAGGTTTGAAGAAAGCTAATCTCTTGGATCATCACTCCATCATTTACATCCTCGATGAATCTGCCTCTGAGGTCTGTTCAACCCTAACCTTGCCTCTTTACCCATGTTTTTGTCCTTTCCAGATCTTGTCGAGTCATCATTATGAAAAGAAGCTTTCGTTTTATGTCTACTTTTAATTGTATAGCTAGTGGATTGATTGACCTTTGTGGGTTCTACTTTGTTCTTATAGGCAGTGACCAGTCGTGGATTTGTGAAAGATATGACATTGAGCAATGTCAGGCTGTTTATTGGGATGATTATAGTTGTCATTGCTCTCTTTGCCCAGTTTTACAAAAAAAGGTTTCCTAAGAATAGGGACTTCCTCGTCGGCTGCATCGTGTGATATCCTTTTTCAGGCTTCGGCTGTCGCGCCCGCCCTCATTTTTTGGTTGACGAAAACACTGGAAGGGTGGGGAAAATACATGTGATTGAAAAAACTGTTGTAAACTAAGAATATTTAGTTGAAAAATGTGCACTTTTGGTTTATTTATTTCTTAGAAATGACATTTTGAAAAGGGGAACACTTTAGTCAAAGGCATTTAAACAATATGAAATTAATGCTAGAGCTAATCAAATTAAGTTATCAAGACTCTTTGTCATATTGGTTATTGGTTTTGCACTTCTGCTGCCTGGTAAATATGAAAATGGGATTACGGCTTTGTGTTTTATCATTTCTGAGGTCTAAGGTATATAATCTTCGAATTTTGAGGCCTCGAAATATGCCATTATGTATTCATTAATGTGGCCACATCTCAGGGCTAGGCAACCTTATACATAGGATAAGAGAAGTTCCTATTCTTAATTTTTGTTCTTTCTTATCATTTTTAATATCGTAAGTTATTTTCAGTCATCTAATTTGGCATTTTACTGTATTGCTTGAATTGTGTTTTGATCCTTAACTTTGGCAAGTATATAGTCTTCAACGGGTTGTTGCAGTTGATTATATACATAAAGGAGAAGAATGCCATTTTGTTTACATATCCTCCTGTTGTGAATTCTTTTAACTTCAAATTCCCTTGCACTCTAGAATCCCGTAGTCCTATTTATGTATGGGGAGTAGCTTCTTTTTTTCCTCTTGCATGATTCCTGATTATTTTCCATTAATTGGTTCAAGTTGAAGCTTCTTCTTCCTCCCTTCAGTTAGGTACATATAAATCTTTATTTAGTAGTGTTAGATTAGAAACAATATGGTAGCTACTTAGAAACACCTGTGATTAATACCACTCTCTCTTCTCCATAAGGTTCGGAGGGGGCTGTTAGAGTAGGTGGTGATATTTTTTATCCTTAATTGAATGAAGGCTACAAGCTTTGCTCTTCATCTTTTAGATGTGACACGAATTAAATGAAAAAAAAATAAGTTTCTTGAAGTTCTATAGCTCTTCATTACATGTATCAACTAGATTGGTGTTTCATCCATCTGTTTTTAATTTATTTTCAATTTATAGAAAGAAGAGAATAAGAATTATCCATTTGTGTGTCTAAGAGAGACACTGGCCATCATTTTTCCCATAAAGTGGCAAGGCTGATGCTTCATACAGGTTAGTTATGATAGGATGCGAACTTGTTTAGGCCTTGAGATGTTTCAAGTCGCTTGTTGAGAACATGCTTGTCTATTAGAGTGATTTTATCATCTCTCAATTTGATTTTTTTCTAGTTGTAATTCTTTGTCCAGGCATCCTTCACCAGTACTGGATTGGTAATCTCTTCCAACCTGCCTAGATTTTCTGATGCATACACACTTACCATAGCAAGTGTAGATCCAAAATCAATTTTTACAAATGAACCAGTACATTTTACTAAATGTGTTACTTGATGGTATTTCCTTCCCCCCTTCCCCAAATATTTGCTTTTGAACCACACATTCCCTTTGGCAAATTATAGAATAATTAGTATAACTGTGTTTGAATCGCAGGTTCACTAAGGATGGGTTTTGGTAGAGGGCCTTTTCTGGAAAGATGTGGAGGCATTGATAGATCAGTATATGAAAGAACCTAAGAAGGGAAAGTGATCTTTGTAAGCACCCAGAATTGGGTTTTTATTCACTTTTTGCTGGATAAAATATATGGATGGACCACATGGTTATAAACTATGTTAATTAAAGTTTATAGTTTCATTCATTTCTAGTATTTAGAATAGAGGTAAGAGAATTAAGCTTTTACCAGCATTAAAACTCATGGTTACCTTCACAGGTCGTACAAAGGGAGATGAAACTCGTAGTCTCCTCTGAGTTTTCTTGAAAAGATTATTAGATCTCTCTGCCCTTCTCAGATAATCGAACAAATGAGAACAAAGTATGCCCCCTCGTTCAGATTTGATGGATGGAGTAAAGTCTTCATTTGCATGTGAAGTACGTATTTTAAACGGTGTCGTTTTGGCAACATTTATAATCCTGGCCATCAAAATGAAATAAACGATCACCTCATTTGATTTAAAGTCACACTTAACTCCACAATGTATGGTCTTAATGCTGCTGCTTCTCATTCAAAACCTTCTGCCTAAACTCGAATTTCTCCAGTTCTGATGTCTAGTGTAGCACCAATTTTTGATGTAAATCATCTCAGACTAGAAGATTCTGGTCTTGTGCAAAGCTTTTGCCTTCGGGAGCCTAGAACCATGCTCGTATTTTTTACATGTCAAAACTCCACAGTAGCATAACAAGCTAAAGAAATTGTCAGTCTCAGTAGATGAAGAACAACACAAGAATTATCCACTTTCAATTGAGAGATAAGAAGCTGAGCAAACTATCAATCATCACTGAACTTTCCCGTTATCTTATTTCTATTCGTAATAATTAACCATTGGCTCAACTTTCTTACTAATCTGGTGAAATTGAAACATATATTGGGTTATTATGGAGGGTTTGTGCAATACTAGAATCTTCTAATACGACATATTTTACATCCAGAAGTTGGAACTCCGCCATGTACCCAGGGGGTTCAAAATTAAACCGGTCTTGACACAGTAAGGTTCGAGCAGCGAAAGGGAGACATACTTGATCAAGATAGTATCGAGCCAAGATTGAGTTCTTTACTTCTTTTAAAGGGAGCCCTCCCAAAAACTTATCTTCAAGGGAGAGGATAAAGCGTCGTAATGATAGCCATCATTCTGCAATTGACGTCTTGAGAAATGATTCGAAGAACATAGCAGATACATCTTCAGAAGAATCTAATTTGAGAAATAATTCAGAGAAACGATTTTGAAATGATTCACTGGGCACTAAACCCAGCCCCTTTTTGCTAGCATCCTCCAGGTTCGAGCCAACACTTTTAACAAGCACCACAAGGATCTTTATACTGGACTGGACTCACAGCTATTGACGTGATTGCCAACAGAGCATTGCCAGAGGATTCACACTAATTTGTTTCAGGTAAACATTTATTAATGGGTATAATATGATAATTATATAATTTTTTTGCTCATGTTAATTAAAAAAATTTATGCTTTGGCATTGTGTTATATACTGTGTTACAAGCATTGATTTCTTTCTTTCTTTCTCTATTTGTTTTTTAAAAAAAAGTTAAGGCAGCCCATCCTATCACAATTGGGTTTGGAATCGATTCCACTTTTTTAGTGACAGTGACACGGACTTGGTGTTTGAGTTGAGGATCTAAGGAATGATGAAACTAAAATGAAAGAGTGGTGGATAAGAAAGTAGTGAAATCAGTAAAAGTGGAAGATTTTATATAGATGCTATCATCCTTTTATATTATTTTTTTGATGAGATGCCTCAAAGAATGGATCGCGCGCGCATAGATGTGGATTATTTTAGTCTATTATCATTGTTTGATATATGGAAATATCATTGGAGATTTTTGTTTCCTTGTAAATTTAAAGCTAATTCGAGAATGGGGTTAGAAACAAGACAAAATGAAGTGGAATCCAGGATGTGATTGCAACAGAAGGCTACTGGATAGCTTCAGTGATATTCCCGACGCTCTAATATCAAACAGTCTTCACTTAATATTCTTCAGCAAACGTGTGCCATTGGTTTTAGATCAATACAACCCTATCAACTTAGATAAGGAGACTGCTAATCAAGCACCACACGATGTAATTAGCTAGCTACCTCATTTTACATCTTTCTCTGCAAGTACCATTCAAAGTGAAAATTGTTGTACGATGGAAGAACAAGTAATCAAGCACATAAATACATACGTACGTATATACATACATATATACATATCTACATGTGGTTCTCTAACAACAATTCGGTTCTTTTATTATTGAAGTTTGACCCCATAAACCTTGCTTCATTAGTTAATAGCTTATGATGGGAGAGGGCTCTCAAATGGATATTTATAAGATCTGCGCAGAGCAACTCTTAGTAGTCAGCTTGAGAGTTGAGGGGCAAAGGGACTTACGCTGTATCACTACCAAGGGTCTAGATTGAAGATGAACCTATTAATGAGTTTGGACCAGCGAGTGGAATTGACACTGAGTCATTGACTCTCGACTATGTTAAGGTTTTGTGGCAAAAACTGATCAAAAAACAATATTATTCACTATTAATGATAGACTGATTAGTTGTAGCTTTTTCACCTAAATATCCAATCCCTGTCTCACATTTTTCTTCTTTGAATGAAGTGGCAAGTACAAACTTGTTGAGATCTGATCAAACAGATAAAAAACTACCAGACTTAGCGTTGGATATTGTAGACCTATGAATATTACTAAATAACCTATCGTCATCATCAACTTCTGGATCATATAGATCCCGTTATCGAGAGGATGGAAATTCTAAGGAATCTGTATGTACTTTGAGTTTGGTTAACTAATGGACAAAACGGACTTGTAAAGCCATTCTAATGCTCAACAACTCCACAGCTGTAGAGACTTAGAAAACTAGTTAACATAGTTCAACATCATGTGGAAAGCTGGGGCATCAGTTCATTAACGTGTTATCTCTCATTGTGTCTCATGCCAGGAAAGACAACTCATTCTGCAAGCAATGTAGATAATGTATCTGTAGCGGGATGAAATATATGAGATGGGTATAGGTTGAAATGTCATATTCCCTCCTAGAATTGGCAATTGTCACTCAAACGCACACATACTACACATTCAGTAATGTCATGAGTGAGGACCAGTAGGTCATTAATTAGTGGGTACCAGGCTCTGTTTGGCTGGGGGAATAGTGGTGCACTGATGCTGCAAATGCATCAGCATACATACTATCCAACATATGGAGGTGTTGCATCCCATTAAAGCTCACTCATGCTTCTTAAATTTGATATGCGGATATATAATGTTGTTAACTAATTAATTTCTCACCCTAATACATGTGACCCCGCTAAAAGGATCTTATTTAAGTAATTGCATATTGAAATAATTGTCTAAGAAGTTTTTGATTATCATTCTCTCTCACAAATATATTCCCCATTTGTCCATATATTCTAAATTTGCAATTTCTTCCCCATGAATCTGTGATGCGAGTCACAACCTCCAAATTCATGTTCCCCCTCATATTTAGATGGAGTGGACAAGGATGCCAGAATTTTTAGGATATGTTGAATAAAGATATATAAAGCCTTTTATCCTTACTAATCCTAAGTAGAACGACGTTGTTAGTAGTCCTTGATACTCGTTACTTATTTTACAAAATGTTTGAAACATTTTTTATCTTTTCTAGATATTTTCCTTGTCGGATGTGTGTTTTATGAGGTGCGCAGAAAGGAGAGCACCATTTGCTTTTTAATGGCATTATTTAAGGGTAATTTTAAAATATATCCTTTTTTTAAGCAAGATCATAAACTAATTTTGACTATCTTTTTTATGTAATAACGTTAACTATCCTTTTGATCTATGTGATTTGGTTAAAAGTATTTTATAAATAAAATTATGTTAAGTATATAGAAGACACATCTCACCATTATTATGATTAATTCGATCTATTTAATTGATTCTTGCATATTTGTTCCTTTGTAACAAAATTTTATATGAATATCTTCCCTATTTGACTGTAATTTTGAATGTGTAAAAAAGGTGTAATTTTCAAAGGACGTCATCTTCAAATCAGTAAAGGAGCTTTCATTTCAATCGACACATTTATCTATAATATCTAGTTGTATCACCCTCTGTTCTTTTAGGGACAATGTTAACCATGCACGTCATGAAATTTAATTATTGGATAAAAAAAAAAGGCAGGCAAAAGTGTGAAAGGCTGCGTTGCTCTAGTGCACGAGAAAGAAAGCTCGATGGCATATAGTATTGATGTGACACACACACACACACACACACACACAAGATGACGGACGATAAGAAATAAGGACATATCTTGTGAGGAATGGGTTACATAGTGGCAACGCAATACTAGTTATGAGTGATGTTTGTGTGTTTGACAGCTTTCACGGCATCTAATCTATTTGCATTAGACATACTTGTTAGTGAACTATCCAAGTGTAAGCTCTGAGAAGAGGAAAAAAAAGGGAAAAGAGAAAGGTTTGGTCAGGGGCTAGGGCTAAAACAAGGTGGAGAAACATGGGACTCAATTAATTTGGGGGGGGGAGGAAATTCATAACGAGGGTGACTAGAAAGTGATTCGGTCTAATCATTATCGTTTCTTTGCTTCGAACGAAAGACAGGTAGAGAGAGTGATGCAATTTTAATACTTCCACAAATGCCACATCATACTAAAAATATGTTTGGATGCCCTTCTAAAATTAATTTTAGATTTAAATTTATAGTTTTCAAAAATTTTATCCAAACACTTTAACGTTTTTAAACTTCATTTGGTTTTCAAAATTTTATTTGAGATAAGCTAAAATTTATTCTATTTTTAAAAATTAATTCTGAATATTATTAGCTCATCACTTTAGATAGTAGAATTATTCACTCAAAATTAATTCTGAAAAAATTATTCAAATATCATCAACTTTATCGTAACTAATTTTTGAAAATTTATCCAAATATCATCATATTCTTATAATCAAATTTTCTCATGATTAATTTTTTTGAATTGAAATCTAAACACACCCTAACTTGGTGGGTTTATGCTTGGCAAGTCAAATGAAGTAAACCTGGGACCTGGACTTGGAAGGGATTGTAATGCCTCTTTTCTCTTTCACCAAAAGGAACCCCATCATTACTCCTCTCCTCCTCTCCTCCCCTCTTCATCCAACTCAACTCATTGCCAATTTATATTCTACATGACTCAGGAGTGGGCATGTTATTCTGTCTTGCTTCATATTCAACCAAGATAATGGAAAAAACTATAAAGGTTTGCAATTGGTAAAAAGTTAGAGCACTTGTTATTTCTTACATTTGATTGATGACAATTTGAGACATGTGAATTAGCTCGAAGGATTAGAAGTAAAAAAGCCACAATTTGAATGCCATGTTGTAATGAAAATGTATTGATAGATTTGATGGGTGAAGCAGAGGAAGGTTGTGATTAGAGCCGAGCAAATGGATTGAGCCCATAGACTAGCCCGTTTAACCCGTATAATTTGATGGGTTGGGTTGAAAAAATTAGCCCATATTTTAAAACGAGTTAGATTAGTCCAACCTGCAAAATTAACAGGCTAAAACGGGCTAGCCTATTTTAAAAAATATTTTTTTTATTTTTTAATTACATTATATCTTTTTATAAATCTACAATAATGATAATATTTCTTAAAAATATAATTTATGACTCTCAAATATATTCTTTACATTTAAAACATAGTGTAAATTCTTTTTACAATTTGTAAATAAAATTTTTTTTATAGTTTGTGAAGATGATTTATTAGTTTTTATAGAAATATTTTAAATATATATTATTTATTAATCTCATAAAATCTATTGATTGAAATTATAAATATGAATTTACTGAGAAAAATAATATGGGTTTATATTTGAATTTTCTTTCTCAGTGACAAAAATAGTACACCTAGGCAAAAAGATGATTAATAATAAAAATCTAGCAAAATGAATTTGCTTGATTGAATTCTATATTTACTTTATTTATTTATAAGTTTTTTAATTGCTAATTTATTTTAAAATATGAAATAAATAAATATATTTATATTATATAAATTTTAAATTATTAAAAAAATGTTAATATTTTTTGTACGACGTGGGTTGCTAGCCCACTAAAAAACAAATTGAGTTAAATTTTTTAATTCATTTTATTTGATAGATTAATTTAATTTAATTTATAAAAATATCAACTTGTGTGGGCTAGCTAGCAAGTTAGCCTATAACTCATTTGTACAGTTTTAGTTGTGACCCTGTCCCGGGCTCCCTCCAGGCCTTAGCATCTTTTGTCACACACCACATCTCTGCCCCTCTCCCATTTGTGATTCGTATAATGAGATATAATAACCCCACTCAGGGTCCGATCCAATCCTTTCTCTCAAACTGTTCTCGCTGTTGCCGTCCGATTCGCTGGATCCCTTCAATCCTGACCTTCCATTAGTCTCTCCCCGAGATGTGCTCGCCTTCATCTTGTGCAGCAGTAACTCGCTGCTCCCTTCGCCTGCTATTGGTCGGGTCTGCCATTCATTCCCGATCCTGGTTGGCTCGTCTTCCGTGCACAACTCGTTGCCTGGTTTTCCTCGACTTCATCATTAATTAAGCACACCTTTCTTTTCTCTCCTGTTTCCTGCCAGAACCCTTTTTTGCCTTCCACGTATAGCTGGTTGTAACTGCGATGGTCCGGCTTTGTTAACTATTCACGTCTATTCTGATTTTTGTACGTTCTTTCATTTTAGTTCTTTCTTAGAGCTACCTGTGACAGTGGAATTTCGAAGCTTCTGAACCGATCTTTATCCTTAGGTTTGGATCTTTGAATTGTTTCTTAGTTCAATCGTGAAATCCACTTTATTCTGCTCTGGGTGTTAAATTTTTGGCGGTTCGAAGCGTTTTCTTCATTCTTTTGCACAATTAAAATCTTTCCATGGATGCGGAGGATCGAAACGGGAGCAGAATGTGTGCTCGATTGTCCGATGTAGTGCTCGACTGTGTTATGCCTTATATTCACGACCCCAAGGACCGGGATGCGGTTTCTCAAGTTTGCCGGCGATGGTACGAGCTTGATTCGTTGACGCGGAAGCACGTTACAATTGCTCTGTGCTACACGACAACCCCCGACCGGCTCCGGCGAAGATTTCCGCACCTGGAGTCTCTGAAGCTGAAAGGGAAGCCGAGAGCGGCGATGTTCAATTTGATACCGGAGGATTGGGGAGGCTACGTGACGCCTTGGGTGAGGGAGATTGCTGAATATTTCGATTGCTTGAAGTCGCTCCACTTTCGTCGCATGATTGTGAAGGACTCGGATCTTGAGCTTCTCGCTCGATCTCGGGGACACGTCCTGCAAGCTCTCAAACTCGACAAGTGTTCCGGGTTTTCCACGGTTGGCCTTTACCATATTGGACGCTCTTGCAGGTAATCTTGATTAGTCGTCTTCATATAGTTCGGTCTTTGGAGGCTTATAATTGAAATTTATGGGATTTTCTTTCTCATCTGCTTAAATTTAGCGACTGAATTTAAGTTAATCAATTCCAACTTTCAAGTTCAACTATGAAATCAGGATTGGTTGTCTTGTTCTTCTATGTGAGTTTGTGACTTTTGGTCTCGAAATAAATTAACCTGTGAGCTGGATAATTTACCTGGTTGTCAGTTAGAGGAAGAAGAGGTTGGTACATATCCGGTTGAGCATATATCAAAATCTCAATCGTGTTTGTAGTGGTTTAATAGTTCGAGTACTTCTCTCTAAATGGATATGCTTCCGTTAATGTCTTTGATTCTGTAATCTATTTTTCATGCAGTTGGACCACATGCTCACAACCTTTGTCTCTTGGTTCCAACTCTCATGAAATACAATTAGATGCTGTTGTGACTAGTGAGCAATGCCAAGTGTTAATGTTTGCTTCGCAAACCCTTTTTGTTGCTATTATGTTGCAGTTTGAATTGTCTGGGTGGAAGCCTACCTTCCCTAAGAATAAGCCGTTTCTGCCGAATCATACATTGTTGATGAGGACAGTGCATTTTTCTAACTTAGTTTTGGTTTCTATTTCCACCAAATATTATCTGTTGTACGATAATTTGTCGCCAAAGTAGGTTTACCTGAAACTTACACCAAATCTTAATTGGCTCATTTTGAGCTGCTGGAGTTTCCAATTATGCGCATCAGTGGAATGTTTTCTATTGATTGGTTATGTATACCTAAAGCTATGCTGATTGATTTTTTCCCCCAAAAATTTTGCTGCATAATTATTTTAGTGGTATCATTTGATGCATTTTCAATTGTAGGCTGAAGTATTTTAACCGTATGCAACTCACCATTTAATTGTCAGGAACATTATTATGGACGCTATTTCTTTCGTGCAGTGGACAAACCAAGGCTATGCTTTGTTTATTGTTCACTAAATTAATCTTCCATGCATGGTCAATGGGAAAGCTTAGGTTGTTCTTGTGGAGTAAAGTACCCTAGTTTTAGTGTAAGGAAGGGACGTAGGGGAACTGTGGGTAGTAGCAAGAACATGTTCTATCTTTAAAGAAGAAAGAAAGATGCTTGGTTAGTTGGAAATGTTAATCTTGTTGGATATGTAATAAATTTATTTGTTTGTTTCTTTTCGATTTTTGACCATATATTGCATGAAAGATTCAAGCTCATCTCATTCCTTTTGCTCTGAAATTTAATTACCTGGTTACTATACTTCATAGAAACTTGCTGTGGTCTAATCGACCTGCAGCAGACTGTATAACGTGAATTGGTTACCCCTGTTTATTTCTTAAAACAATTGTAAATGTAGGATTTGATCTCATATTTATGGTGTGGATCAACTCTATTTATTGCTTTAAAACTGGTTCAGTTAATAATTCAACTTATTAACCCTGTAGATTTTTTTAAAAGAATAAAGGAGGTATGTATATTACTCAAAACAAAAAGCAACAGTTACAACTAAGCAGGAAAAAAAAAATTCACCTAACAACACCTTTCATCATCCACCACCTTACAACAACAAGGTGCTGGGTGATCATAGATTATCTATGGAGATTTTCTCATTCAGTTACTGCCAATTTTATTTTCCCTCATTTATCTTGATGTTTTTTCTTACTACTCTCATTACCATTTGTTGATAGCAGCTGCGTTTTTAGTGCTACTGGCGGTGAATGATCAAAATGAAGCTTATATTCTTCAAGAAAATTACTGCTTACAACGTCTCACTTCTGTGCTGTTTTTTTTTTAAAATAATTCGTCTTCGTTTTCTATCATTTTTTTTTGGGCGGAATCTTCATTTTCTATCTCTTGAACGAGATCATGGTAAAGTTGTACATCTTTGAAGCAACGTGTTACTGCTATTGTTCCCTGAATTCGTGTGCTATCATTTATAGCCTCATTTAGTTTCCTTTACTGTTTTCATGACCACGTATATAACTAAGATGACATCTTGCTACATTTGAACATGCTGGAGCTTTTGACCCTATTCTGTTCGTTGTGTATAAGAATGTTTTCAGTATGTCAACTTGAGCCGTTTCTTATCAGAATTTATGCCTGCAACTATGGATGAGCATGGCTCTAATTGAAACTTGTTTTTCCTGTTATGTAGGGCTTTAAGAATCTTGTTTTTGGAGGAGAGCTCAATTATTGAGAATGACGGTGAATGGCTACATCAGCTTGCCACGAATAATACAGTTCTTGAGGCTCTAAATTTTTACTTGACAGATATTGCCAATGTCAAGATTCAGGACCTTGAACTTATAGCTCAAAATTGCCCTAATTTAGTCTCCGTGAAAATTACTGATTGCGAAATCTTGGATCTCATAAACTTCTTTCGATACGCAACTTCTCTAGAAGAATTTTGTGGAGGTTCTTACAGTGAGCAACCAGAGAGGTACTCCACTGTATCATTACCTGCAAAGTTAAATCGATTGGGTTTAACCTATATTGGAAAGAATGAAATGCCGATAGTGTTCCCCTTTGCATCCCTGCTCAAAAAGCTGGATCTCCTCTATGCGATGCTGGATACTGAAGATCATTGTATGCTAATCCGAAGGTGCCCAAACTTGGAAACCCTTGAGGTCAGTTCCTAGAGATGTGTGTCTCAATTTGAGTTGCATATTTCAAATCATTGCAATGACTGTTACAATCTTCGTTTTTGTTGTCTTCTAATCTCTCCTGCTTCAGGCTTCCCCCCATTTGCCTACACCTCTCAATTGATATATATATATATATATATATAATTACATATATTTGTCTATGCATATGCATGCATCTGTATACTCAGACTCTGGAAAAAAATATGCTTGCATATATTGATTTGAAGTTCTCTAATTGGACAAAAGGAAACCTGAAAAGTTTCAACTGAAATGGATGTATCATGTAAATGGTCAAGTGCTCTCGGCCGGACCAGGATTGCATTTTGTGATATTTAAATTAACTACTTTGTTCCCCTGATGGACAGTCGAGGAATGTTATCGGAGACAGAGGATTAGAAGTTCTTGCTCAATATTGCAAAAGGCTGAAAAGGCTGAGGATCGAACGAGGCGATGACGATCAAGGAATGGAGGATGAAGAAGGGGTTGTTTCGCAGAGAGGATTGATTGCTCTGTCAGAGGGCTGTCCAGAGCTAGAATATTTGGCAGTGTATGTGTCAGACATTACAAATGCGGCTCTGGAACAAATAGGGAGACACTTGAAAAACCTGAGCGATTTCCGGCTGGTGCTGCTGGACCGGGAAGAGAGAATAACGGACCTGCCACTGGACAACGGAGTGAGGGCTCTGCTGGTGGGCTGTGACAAGCTGAGGAGATTTGCGCTGTATTTGAGATCGGGGGGTTTGACGGACGTGGGGCTGGCTTACATCGGGCGACACAGTCAAAACGTGAGATGGATGCTGCTGGGCTACGTGGGGGAGTCCGATGCGGGCCTGTTGGAATTCTCGAGGGGTTGCCCCAGCCTCCAGAAACTGGAAATGAGGGGCTGCGCCTTCTTCAGCGAGCACGCACTCGCCGTCGCTGCCACCCGACTCACCTCCCTCAGGTATCTATGGGTCCAGGGCTACGGAGTATCCGCGTCCGGCCGAGATCTTTTAGCCATGGCTCGCCCCTTTTGGAACATTGAGTTGATTCCCTCTAGACGAGTCGGTGTTCATAATCATGCTGGCGACCTTGTTTTCGTCGAGCACCCTGCCCATATTCTTGCCTATTACTCTCTCGCCGGACAGAGATCCGATTTTCCAGACACTGTCAGGCCTTTGGACCCCGCTGCATCCGTTCACTCCTAGAGTTAGTTTGTATATATTCCACATTTCTCTGTAAGTCGCTTCCCTTCCTTTTTCCCTGCCCCCTGCATTTCCTAGACATTTTTATTATCGTTGTCTTGTAATAAGCTTGTGTTGTAGTCCAGAAACGCTTCTCCGGACATGCACTTGGTTCCCTTTCCCGGCGAGATGCTCAATTTTGTGAATAATCAAAATAAATGTAAGGAGTGTTTTCTCTTTTCCTTCCTTGATTTTCTTTTCTGTCCGCCATTTTTGAACTTCTCCAGCTTGAAAGCAAAAAAAAAAAAAAAAAAATTCTGCTTTCCCAATTCATTTTCTGAACTTCTGAATTAGCAAACAATTTGTACTGCTTCCGGCGTAAATAATGTAATTCTTTCCCCCTTTTCCGGTTCAAAAGTTCGGGGCTGGATCTCGACTTCTATGAAGTCATCGTAACCAGTTTGAATTTAAAATTGCCCTATTCAAGTCAAATTTCATATTTATCCATTTATCAATTAATACCTAATTGACATTAGTAAAGACACCAAAACTTCAAAATCTAATCTTATCTTTTGTAAAATATAATCTCATGCATTGTTTGTTCTACAATGAAAATAGGTTAAATTATGTCAAATTAATTATATAGAGTTATTTGCATAAATATAAAAGTTGAGAGGTTCATTATAACATTTCAAATGTTATGAAAGTTATGTGTACATAATTCAAAATTTAAGAAAGTAATGTAAATTTAGCTATGAAAATAATAGTAATTTATATTTCTTCCGTTAATAAATGTAAAGTATTTTTTGATAAGTTAGATGTTTAAAATTATAAGGCATTTTTAATCTTTTGAGGTGTAATCATTGTTTCTTTTCTTTTTCAAAAATATTTCTATTGATGAATGACTTTATATTTATTGTAAGTGTTTAATAGGAGTAAATATGAAAAGATATGGTTAGTTTGAAGGTAAGTAATTATTTTATTGAAAGGTGAAATTCGGTTAAAAATATTTTATATTTTTTAATGAAGGGAGTAGGTGTTTTCATTTAGTTAGTAGATATCTTTTTTTTTTTTAGTTAATGAGTAAATAGGATCTTAAACTCTTACAGGAAAATTACCCTATACCCTAAACTTTTAAAATGTGCAAAATAAATCATAAACTTTTAAATTTATAATAAAGTAAATCCTGATTATTAACTTTTGTAATGTCGTTGTTATTTACACGGGTGCTGTTCACCATAGGTCCCTGTTAATACTAACATGTAATTGTGAATTAATGTCATAGATCCTAAACTATTATTTTAATAGCGTTTTGAATCCTGAACTATTATGTTAGTAGCATTATAGAATCTGAATTTTAAAATTTTGAACAAATTACCTTTACCGTTGAACATTGATTATTATATAAATCAAATTAGTCTTAACATGATTCACCGCAGTAAATGCATCATTGGTCGTAGTGAATGATATATAATTTTGTGAAATGATATTTTTTTTGCCCCCCTTTTTTGCAATTTTTTCAAACAATTAGTATTTCATGTTTTCACATATTCTATAACTTTAATTTAATATTATTTTAAATAATATTTATTTATTTAATTGTAAAAACTTTGGATCCCATTTGAAAAGAAGTTTAAATATTAAATAACTTTAATTAATCGATTAATTTGAGTTTTAAATTCGTTGATGAAATCATCTACTTTCGCATTTATTGTCTATAAAATCATATATTATTTAAACTTCTTTTCAAATGAGATCCTAAATTTTTACCATTAAATAAATAAACATCATTCAAAATAGGCTAAATTTGAATTATGGAGTATACGAAAATATAAAATACCAATTATTTGAAAAATATTGCAAAAAATATCATTTCACAAAATTATAGGTTATTCACTATGACCAACGATGCATTTACCACGGCGAACCACATTGAAGTTAATTTGATTTACATAATAATCAACGTTCTATACATAAATTGTGAGGGTAATTTGCTCAAAATTTTAAAGTTCAAGATCTAGAATGCTATTAATATAATAGTTTAGAGTCTATGACATTAATTTACAATGACATATCAGCATTAACTGAAGCCCACGATGAATAGTACTCGCGTGAATAATATGACATAAAAGAAGTTAATGATGACGATTTATTTTGTTATAAATGTAAAAGTTTAAAATTTATTTTATATATTTTAAAAGTTTAGAATTTAGAATAATTTTTGAGTAAGAGCTCAAGATCTTATTACTTATTAACCCTTTCTTTTTGTCATTCAAATACGCATTCTTAGACATGCGCGTTTTTAGAATTAAAAAAAGGTTATTAAATCTAATTATGGCTGATTTCTGTTTTCCTTTTTAATTTTTAAAAACTATTTTGTAGTGAAATTTTTAAAATAAAACAAAATGAAATTTATTTGATTATATTAATTTAAAAATAATTTAAAATTAAAAGATAAGTTAGTAATTATGGTTGCGCCATGGCTAATAGTTGTTAATGGTAGTTGTTTATATTAAAATTAATTAAAATATCCATATTTTTAATAATGAAATATAGTATGTTTAAAAAAAAAGGTTAAAATTAAAAAAAAATTTAAAATATTTCTATATTTTGTTTTAAAAAAAATAAATGAGACTATTTTTTTGAGTAAAAGAAATGAAAATAGTTTTAAAAATAATTAAATCTATAATACTTATTTAAATAATTTTTATTTTTTTTTTTTTTTAAATTAAAAACAATTTTTAAAAACAAAAACTAAATAAATCCTAAATTTTCTGTTTTGCTTGGGCTTGGATGTGCAAATTATGATGGACATGACATTTTGTTGTGAGCCCAAAGACTCCTACTAAAGTGCCTGATCAAGCGTGTGCGGTGAATGTTTCTGTTTGAAGGATATATATATATATATATATATATATATATATATATATTATTTTTTATTAGTTTTTAATGTGTTATGTACAAGATGATTTTCTGAGTAATAATCATTTTTATTTTATTTTGTCTATTCTGAATTTATATTTTATTATTTTAAGTCTGTTGGGTCTTTCTACTTGTTCCCATTTAAGGTATTAATGAGTTCGTATTTTATAATGTTTTTTTAAATCACATTTGTCCAAATACCTTCTTATATAGCATTCATTGATTTATTAAATTTTTTCGACTAGCCATTAATTTATTAAATTTACACGCATTCAAGATTTATTAAAAAAATTTTATAGACAAAAGTATGAAAAAATTAAATATTGACTTGTAATAATATAATTTTATGTTTTAAACATATAAAATTTACATCTCTCATATAATCATTTCCTTGGAACAGTCCTCAGAAGGCCATGCATCAAATTGGAAGCCTCATAATGATGAGAATGCCATTGTCCACATAGACAGTTTCCTGGGATGACCATGAGCTTGTGTGCATGATGACTACATAAAAATTAAAATGATTTTATAATTTGATTCTTGATTCTGTCAACTAAAACTTAATATATGATATTATCAAGTGGTCTGTGATGTTGTATCTCAAATTCCTTTTGATCATTTTGGATCCAATCAGCTTATTATATGGATATGAAAAATATTAGATTTGCACGTATTCGTTTGCAAGCAATGTTTATTTTGGTCATTTGACCTTAATTTCTGATGACCTCATAGTGAATACGAGTTCTTTTTCTAATTTTTTTCCCCCTGTACCCTTTCTTTCTGCCCTTCTTTTAGACATCTTTAAGCTGCCAAATTCATGTTTAAACAACTCCTGATAATAAACCAGCTCCTTTATTTTTTATTCCTTTCCCTGCCATTTTTTCTATCTCCACAAAAAAAAAATCAAAATCCAAGATTAAACAAAAAATGGGTCCAATAATTTTTTTAGTTACAATTAGTGAAAATTAAACAAAAAATGGGACTTCCAAAAATTTTTCATTCAGCTTTAACAAGAATTATCATTAAGTGTCCCCGTGCATGGCACGAGGGCATAATCTTGTTATTTAATGAATTTGAACGTCATTTACAATGACCCAAAATTCATCAATAGAGTCATTTAACCAAAATTATTGTTTGAGCTTATTAAAATTAATGTCTAAAAAATTATTTTTATTCATAATTATTCAAGCAAAATCATAAAATGAATTGAAAAATGAACTAGAATCATCTGAAATCAAATAGATTATTTGATAAAAACCATTTTCTTGAATATAATTAATTGCGGTCAATTGAACAGCATTAATTTAATTCCAAGATCTTGAATTATATCAAATACTTATTAAACTATTATAATTGAATTATAAAATTAATTAGGAAAAATATAATCACTGATCTCTATAGTTGTTATCAGATTTTATTTTTAGCCTTTATAATGTTTTTCATGTAAGGAATGAAAACACTTAAACTATAATGACTTGAGTAATAGACATCACCAAATCTTGATGAAATTATATGTACTAAAAATATTAAAAAAAACTATAAGATTAAAAGCAAAATTTGATGAAAATATAAAAATTAATTGTTTTCCCAATTAATTAAATTAAATACACCAATTTTTTTAGTAGCTAGTGTCCTGCACACACTCTTTCAGTTCGGCCTTGTTATAAATTTTTTTCCTCCATATGTCATTGATAAATTAAATGAAAATAGGGAGAATAATAGAATGGTACCTATTGAAATCCCATATCAGGACCTTGAAATGTTATGATCACAATAAGGTCTCAAGAATTTCTTTTGAGATTAAAATTTTCAATAAAATTATTTTACTGTCCCTCTGCCTAAGAAAAAAGAAACACCGAACGAATGGCTTGCTCTCTCTCGAGTTCTTCTCTCCTGGCAAAAAAAAACTTCTGCTTCTGTTCTCTCTCCCGACCTATCTTGTCACAACTCGCGACCGATTGGATACCAGATTTGGTCTCATTACCATAGCTGGAGAATGTCAGCTGGCAGTTGTCGGCCCCGGAGTAGTAGGAAGTGAATCGGAGATTGCGAACATTGATGAGCTTGCGGGGAAACCCTTACGATTGCAAGGAGAGGGATAGTCTGTTCACTGATTAGAAGCGTCAAGCCAAAAAAGAGAGTTCAAAATGGAAGTGGGCTTGGCCTTCATGGGAGACATGGACGGAGCATTCAGACTTATAAATGCAGCGTTTAAATTTAATGTAGATATGTTGTATGCAAACATTTTAAATTCTGCTAACACCGTATGTTCATTTTAAAGATGACATTTATTGGAAGGACAATTTAAATTTAATGTTTC